TGGTGTGGTGTGGTGTGTGTGTGTGTGTGTGTGTGTGTGTGTGTGTGTGTGTGTGTGTCTCCACAGTGTCTCCTCTGGGGGCAATCAGATTCTTGTATGTGGTCAGAACCTGTGCATATCTGGGCAATGGGGCCCAACCCACAGATCTATATTTGTCTCCATCATTCTGACTGATAATTCCCCTGAAAGTGGGCAATTCCTACATTCAGAAACATACTATATGTAAATATGGATTCCTCTGGATCTTGAGGAAGGCACCTTGGGTATCTTTTATATTAGACACATTTTTATGTGGTAAGGCACATATTTTGTAGATCAAAAGATTTAAAAATCCCTACATAGACCAGAGTATAGCTCAATTTAAAATGTGTTCTGGGTCTTTCAGATAAAAATAGAATGTCTCCAAGAATCATCTGCTTTCAGATTCTAAGTCAGAGCATTTGGGGGAGACATTAGGGGTCACCGATTCAACTCTGTACCCCACCGTTCACCTGTGGCTGCTGAGAAGCCCTAAGACATGCCTGCGATTTGTACGTAGTGTGACGGGCTATCGTCACTGTCAGTGAATGGAGACCAGGCGCCTGGGTCACAGTGCTAGGTGGGTGCTGTGTTAGACGGTTGTGAGGAGTCGGTGGGTTTGAGCCAGACAGATTCTTGGTGTTGCTTTTTCTCAGCCTCTACTGTGATGGACAAGGGGGCTGATGAGACTCCATGCTGATCTCACCACATTCCATCACATAGAGTATGGGCCGAGCCATTGCACATGAACTGGGTCTTATTTTCCTCTGGAATCAGGTTTAATTTTTTTCTTCAATACTGGCTAATTGCTTAAACAACCCATTCCAAATTTTTCTTCTTGGCTACATCCTTCTCATAGAGAAGGACCTGACTCAATATCCTCTCTGGGTCATGAACAATGCTTGCACTGCCTGGTTCTACTACTACCCGAGGGTCTATTGTTCTCACCGCACCACTGAGGGTTATTTCTGCACAAGTATTGTCTTGTCCTAGGCATCGGAGTATGGGGCCAGACTTTTGTGTTTGCTTGTTCATTTGTTTCATTAAAATGTGGCATTAGTGTCTTTCTCCTTATAGAAATCCATAGACAGCAGACTTTGCAACATGTTTAATCTAAGATTTGGTTTGTCCCTTTATACATCTCTGGGAAAATTTCGGGAAAGCAGCCTTGGAATGGCCTCAGGTTTATTCCAAGCACCTACATTTGGAGTGAGCATGAAAAGGTGGCAGTGGTATACCTCCAGGCTTGCCTTGGACTATGATCCACCCAATGGGAAGAGACCCTTTCCTTTAAAGCAGGTACAGGTGTGGTTCCAGCCAGCGTTGACCCTGCAGCCCCCACTCTCCTTTTGAAGCTTTGTAAAAGGCTTTCCACTAGCCTGACTCAAGAGTCTCCGCCATCCCTGGAAAATTTGGCATTTGGTCAAGATACCAGCTTCTCTTACGGGTTGCAAGACAACCCCAGAGTGACCTGAAGATTGTGACAGGCTTTCTTTTGTGCCCACTCTGGGTGCAGTAGTAGTAGCAAGAGATGATGCTCAATGGGATATTGTCATTGGGCATCCCTCTCTGAGCAGCTCTGCTGGTCTTCAAAGCATGCTTTCCAGGCCCAGTTCCTCCACAGGAGAATGGACCAATGCCTGAGTCACCCTAGTGGGCAGTGTAAGGTGGTACCCAGAATGAACACAGACGAAATTCTGGGTGACACCTGAACTTCAGATGAGCAAAACATGGTATTTTATAGTAAGTATGCTTTGAAATACTTGCCTATTAAGTATTAAATACTTACCCTAGGGATACAGGCTGTATGTTATATTCTAGAACTATCTAATACATGGTGGGTACTTGATAATGAGGAAGGAAGGAGTGTACTGGGCTTCCCAAGCTCTGAGCACAATTTTCTTATCTTTAAAGTTGATATAATAGTTTTCACCCCTTGAAGCTGTTGTGCGGATGAGAGAAATAGTCTACGACAAGCCACTGCCACATTGACATGCTCCCAGCAAGCCCACGGTGAGACGAAGCCATGTGCTGTCCAGATGAAGCCACATTCATGCTCATACACATTTCAGGCAAATCACCCTGAAGGAAGAGAGCAGGAATTTCATTTAGGAAATTTGGTGGGATTAGGCTCAGGACATTGGAGAGGGAGTCTGACCACTTATAAAACCTAAAAAATAGCCCAGCCCTCAGGTTCTTTATAGGAAGGCGTGACCTAGCAAGACAAGTTTAGATAACATGTGCATTTTTTCAGAAACGAGTAATGGTTTAAAAATATGAGCTGTGGAAAACTAGAGCAGGCCTCTTTATTTTGATCCCAGTTAGCAGTAGATATGGAACCATTTCTGGGACACTTTCCCTCTATATCCGTGACGCTCTATGTCCCCAAGAGTGAAGTCAGTTAAAGATCTTTAGCACTCTTTGATAAAGAGAGCTTGTTGTGTAGCAGAGGAAAAAATACTTCTTCAGGCAACTTGTGCTTCTGTAGCACCAGAAGGCCTTTGATTTGGAATCCATGCAGTTTCTAGAAGGGTTCACTCATTTACCATTTCCAAGGTGTATGGTGACTTCCATATGAATTCAAACATCTTGGCATTCAAATTCTGCTTTGCTCCTTCATCTTGAAAATTTAATAATGTCCGTGTCTGCAACCATTACACTTGGCCATCTTCCTTCTAAGGGAATGTGGAACATGCAGGGAGACACGAGGAAATCACCACTTCCAGAGACAGCTGCAATTCACCTTTCAGTAAACACAATTACTTGGATCCCATGTGCTTCCATTCTTCGGATAATTTGTTTCGGGCGTATATTCTTCTTGCCACAAAACCTACTGAAATCAACTATAAGGATGAAAGAAGATAAGAAGATCAAGCAAAAGAATATGCAATTGCTTAGGTTTTCTGTGTGGCTAACTGTGGAAGGAATGGCAGTAAAAATACTTCACAAGCTCCCAGCCTCCGTTGGCTGCAGATACAACTGTAGCAACATACAGGAGAGGGAGAGAAACATTTTTCTTTTCCAAATGCGTTCTTGTGCCTGAGATTCTATCTAAGGGGTGGTAAGTGATGATCCTGAGTCCCAAGGATCTGGGCTGTGTGTTGGATTCGAGTGATGATTGCAAATGGCAGCTGCTTTGCTGCTCGCAGCATTTTATGCAGTGCAGTCATTCGGAAGTTAGCTACATTTAATAATACAAAACGCTGGGCCCTTGTCATGAAAGAGCGCCTCGTTAAAGCACCTGTAGCTTCTTTGCCATGGAACAATAGGGAAGAAAGGGAGGTTTCCTCTATCACTGTTGGGTCATTCGTCTTCAGAGTGACTTTCTAAATAAAAGCACAGTTCAGTGTGTTTCTTGTTTCTCTGATGTTTTCCCTGTAAATTCCATGTGTTTCCTAGACTGCCAATTATTTACTTCCCATATTTTACTTCTGACTCTTTTATTCTCCATCTACCGTTTTCTGTGTGATGGGCATACCTGTAACTGTGGGGTTTCAGTTAGAAAGGACCCTGTTAGTGTTCCCAAACCAATCCACAGTCTAGATGACTCAGTCATCTGCGTGTATAAGGTGGTGAGATTGAGACCCAGGCACCTTATATGTGACCAGATAAAGATCACGATTGAGGACAAAATTAATGATTTATTTTTCTGGAAATGTTTGCTTTTAATTTTACCAGAAGTCTACTGCAAAACAGTAACACTATGACTATACCAAGAAGACAGATGCTGGGTCTGTGTAGGTCTCCTTATATACATAATGTGAGGACCAGCCAACTGTGCCACACCCTACAGACTGAACCTCAGTGCAGACCCACCCATAGCTGTGCACCAGGATCATGTCAGGACCCCTGTATGGGTGCATAGTTTGCGCACTTGATCCATCACTCCAGCCTCCGAATCGTCATCCTAATCAGCAACCATTTTTCTACACAGCAGAGGATAAGGTTTTATATTCCTGCACAGAAAATGGCCCTGCCTCAAAGTGATGCATCTGACTTTGTTAACTCCCCATGGGAATCCTTACCTGCTCTGAGGAGTGGCTGGAGGGTGGGGTAGGGAGAAAGTGGGGAAGTAGGAGAAGGGGAGGGAGTGGGAACTGAGCTAGGTTTGTAAAATGAGAAAAGATTGTTTTAAAAATAAATAAATAAAAACAAAATGGTATAGATTACCAATAAGCCCAGCTT